AGAGAGGCCCAAGAGAGGGAACGCGAACCGAAAAAATCAAGCTCTCCGCCCCAAGATGCCCCCAAGAGGATGCCCCCAGGAAGCCCCCAAGAGGCCCCAGAAGGCCCCCAAGAGGCCCCAAGAGGCCCCCAAGAAGCCCCAAAGAGGCTCCAAGAGGCCCCAAGACGGCACCCAAAAAGGCTTCAAAATCTTTCTAAGAGCCCCCCGAAGCCATGCCAAGAAGGTCCCATGACGACGTCAAGAAGCAATCCAGCATGCTCCAAGGAGGCCCCAAGAAGCTCACTAGAACTTGAGCGCGCGCGAAGCGCGCGCGATGGTTCTAGTCAACATAGATTCAACATTGGTAGAGTATCGTCCCCTGACTGCTTTGTTGTTTAAACTATTGTTTCATATTCCTCCTGTAGAAGGACAGGCCTGACTTACGGAATAGCCCAAGGGAGAGCAATACACATCGGTCGGAAGAAGTACGTAAAAACATGAAGTAGGAAGGCGGATAAGGTGGATTGGGTCCAGGCCCTCCCAGATAAGGACAAAACGCAGCAAAAGCACGCCGACTCTTGAAGTAGGAAGGCGCTCGAAGCAGATTGGGATCTGGGGATCCAAACATACCTACTTTCAACGACCGGCGTGCCCATGTTACCCCAGAAGCGCCGACACAGCTGGTTCAGGCCTTCGGCGAGGCTTCCTGGCGAGCTCGTGTAGTGCCCGCCCCTGGGCTCCTCGCGCCTGCCCTCGCCTCCCCACCAACCCTCCCTCCCTTCCCCCCTGCCTCCCCTCGCCCCTAGGGCCCATCGGAGCGTAGGAGGCACGGGTCGCGAAACGCGGGGCACAAGGGCAACCTTGATTTGGCAGGGCCGACCTCCGAATCAAACTCGACAGAACCCCGTCCCTCAACCTCCGCCCCCTCCCATTCCCTCCCCTACTCACCCCCCCTCGCTCTTGGAGGCCTCCCAGATGGGGTCCGAGTAGCTGGGGCCGGAGGGTCCCGCAGCATCGCCAATGCATCGGCGATGCATCGGCGATGCACCGCCGACGTTGGCGACGCATCGGCGACGTCGGCGTGGAGAACATCGGGCTCCGCATCGAGCCGCATCGCCGATGCATCGGCGATGCGGCGCGATCGTCCGACCACATCTGCTCTGACCCCAACCGGGAGGCCTCAGGCTCGCCATCCGGCCTCCCTCCCTCCCCCCTTCCTCCGGCTACACGCAAGAGTGACCCTGGGCAAGAGTGACCCTTGGTGCGCGGCTTTGTGGGGGCCGCGGGGAGGCCAAACCTGGGCGCGCAGGCCGCTGCTCCCGCTCCGCCTTCAGCCACTGGAGGACCCGTCTGCGCCCGCACCAAAGGTCACTCCGGCGAAAGGTCACTCTTACTGAAGGGGCCCCAGGACACACAAATTCGCCGGCCCAACGGGCCAGAGGCGTGCTAAGATCTCCGGTAACTGGTTAACAATTCTCTAGTTCGCGCGCGCGGGGCGGCCCCTGGGGGTCCCCGGACGAAGAGTACCCCGGGCGATCCCCGACCGATCCCCGGGAGACTCCCCCAGAGCGCACCAGGAGCGCTCAATGAGCGCACCAACAGGGCTCCGAGACGTCCCCGAGAGCCCCAAGAAAGGCCAAGAGGCCCCCAAGAGGCCCCCAAGATGGTACACGAGGGGTCCGACATGCCACAAGATCGCTCCAAGACGCCCAAGATAGCCCCCAGACGCCCCAAGAGGCCTCCAAGAGCACTCCCAAGAGGGCCCCCGGAGGCAAAATTCATTGTTTTTCCTTAGGTTTTTGAGAGATTTTGGAGCTTCCACCTTTTCGGCTTCCCGACGCCCCAAGACGGCCCAAGAGGCCCCCAAGATCGCCCCAAGAGGGCCCAAGAGGCCCCCAAGAGGGCCCCAAGATGGCCCAAGAGGGCTCGAAGACGGCCCAAGAAGCCTCCAAGACGGTCCAAGAGGGCCCCAAGAACGCCCCCAAAGGGGCCCCAGAGAGGGAACACGAAACAACATTTCGAGCCCTCGGCCCTAAGAAGCCCCTGCGAGGCCCCAAGAGGCCCCTAAGAGGCCCCAAGAGGCCCCCACGAGGCCCTCAGGAGGCCCCCAAGAGTCCCCCAAGCGGCCCCAGGAGGCCCCCCAAATGCCCCCCCGAGCGCCCCAGGAGTCCCCCAAGCGGCCCCAGGAACCCCCAAAGCGCCGCATTGACACCAGGCCCTCGGGCAAACTGCAGACATGAGACTGTATGGGCCAGCGGAATGAGCGAAGCGATTAAATAAATACACACAAATAAAAATGATCCCGGCAAAGCAACCTAACATCGATGTGTAGGAGCATATCTGGAAGCATTCCCCTTAAGATTCGGATGAGAATCCAATTGTATAATTCTGCTGTTCTCGCAGTCGTAGTCGCATTCGCGATGACAGTCGCAGTGGCAACGGCAGTCGCAGTCACAGCCTCAGCCTCAGCCTGCCTCGGCCTCAGCCTCAGCCTGCCTCAGCCTCAGCCTGCATCAGCCTCAGCCTCAGCCTCAGCCTGCCTCAGCATCAGCCTGCCTCAGCCTCAGCCTCAGCCTGCCTCAGCCTCAGCCTCAGCCTGCTTCAGCCTCAGCCTCAGCCTCGGCCTCAGCCTCAGCCTGCCTCAGCCTCAGCCTGCATCAGCCTCAGCCTCAGCCTCAGCCTGCCTCAGCCTCAGCCTGCCTCAGCCTCAGCCTGCTTCAGCCTCAGCCTCAGTCTGCCTTCAGCCTCGGCCTCAGCCTCAGCCTGCCTCAGCCTCAGCCTGCATCAGCCTCAGCCTCAGCCTCAGCCTGCCTCAGCATCAGCCTGCCTCAGCCTCAGCCTCAGCCTCAGCCTGCCTCAGCCTCAGCCTCAGCCTGCTTCAGCCTCAGCCTCAGTCTGCCTGCAGCCTCGGCCTCGCCTCAGCCTGCCTCAGCCTCAGCCTGCCTCAGCCTCAGCCTCAGCCTGCCTCAGCCTCAGCCTCAGCCTGCTTCAGCCTCAGCCTCAGTCTGCCTTCAGCCTCGGCCTCAGCCTCAGCCTGCCTCAGCCTCAGCCTGCATCAGCCTCAGCCTTAGCCTCAGCCTGCCTCAGCATCAGCCTGCATCAGCCTCAGCCTCAGCCTGCCTCAGCCTCAGCCTCAGCCTGCTTCAGCCTCAGCCTCAGTCTGCCTTCAGCCTCGGCCTCAGCCTCCGCCTGCCTCAGCCTCAGCCTGCAGCCTCAGCCTCAGCCTCAGCCTGCCTCAGCCTCAGCCTGCCTCAGCCTCAGCCTCAGCCTCAGCCTGCTTCAGCCTCAGCCTCAGTCTGCCTTCAGCCTCGGCCTCCGCCTCAGCCTGCCTCAGCCTCAGCCTGCATCAGCCTCAGCCTCAGCCTCAGCCTGCCTCAGCATCAGCCAGCCTCAGCATCAGCCTGCCTCAGCCTCAGCCTCAGCCTGCCTCTGCCTCAGCCTCAGCCTGCTTCAGCCTCAGCCTCAATCTGCCTTCAGCCTCGGCCTCAGCCTCAGCCTGCCTCAGCCTCAGCCTGCATCAGCCTCAGCCTCAGCCTCAGCCTGCATCAGCATCAGCCTGCCTCAGCCTCAGCCTCAGCCTGCCTCAGCCTCAGCCTCAGCCTGCTTCAGCCTCAGCCTCAGTCTGCCTTCAGCCTCGGCCTCAGCCTCAGCCTGCCTCAGCCTCAGCCTGCATCAGCCTCAGCCTCAGCCTCAGCCTGCCTCAGCATCAGCCTGCCTCAGCCTCAGCCTCAGCCTGCCTCAGCCTCAGCCTCAGCCTGCTTCAGCCTCAGCCTCAGTCTGCCTTCAGCCTCGGCCTCAGCCTCAGCCTGCCTCAGCCTCAGCCTGCTCAGCCTCAGCCTCAGCCTCAGCCTGCCTCCTCAGTCACTCAGCCTCAATCAGCCTGCCTCAGCCTCAGCCTGCCTCAGCCTCAGCCTCAGCCTGCCTCAGCATTCAAAATGTGGCCCGGGAATGGAGTTCTGGGAACTCGAAGAACACGAAGTGGCCTACAGTTGGCTCCGGGCATTCAAAATCATGCCCAGGAATGGAATTCTGGGAACTCGAAGATCACGAAGTGGCCTACAGTTGGCTCGGGCATTCAAAATGTGGCCCGGGAATGGAGTTCTGGGAACTCGAAGAGCACGAAGTGGCCTACAGTTGGCTCCGGGCATCAAAATGTGGCCCGGGAATGGAGTTCTGGGAAATCGAAGAGCACGAAGTGGCCTACAGTTGGCTCCGGGCATCCAAAATGTGGCCCGGGAATGGAGTTCTGGGAAATAGAAGAGCACGAAGTGGCCTACAGTTGGCTCCGGGCATCCAAAATGTGGCCCGGGAATGGAGTTCTGGGAAATCGAAGAGCACGAAGTGGCCTACAGTTGGCTCCGGGCTTCCAAAATGTGGCCCGGGAATGGAGTTCTGGGAAATCGAAGAGCACGAAGTGGGCACGAAGTGTGTGACTGTATGCGAAAAACGATCCCCGCCGGCAAACCCCAACAGCCCCCCAACTGCCCCCCCAACTGCCCCCAACGGCTGCCCAGACCCCCCTGTGGAGTAATGTTGAAGTAATGTTGAAGTAATGTGCTGCTCTCTTTTGAGACTACTAGGAACCTATCAGTCTTCGATGTTAGGTAATATCCCCCATATTTCCTTATATTTTCTGGGTTTCTGTCTTCCCCCACACCTCCCATATTTTCCCATATTTTCTGGGGAATCGAAAATTAATTGTGTCTGTGTGTTTTTCTCCTCCTGACTTACGTGCAGTCGATTCCTCGACCTCCGCCCAGTCCATCATCCCACGCCTCCGTTCCCCGCCCCGAGCCCGTGCTCCCCCCCCCCCGGGGATCGGGGGCGGGAAAGAGGGGGGTGATGACTAGGGGGGGGGGGATATCATGGAGGGGGCAACGATATTTCCCCAGATTTCGTGGCGCATCTTCTTATTTCATTACGTCTCTGGCCCCCCCGCTGGGCCGCGCACATGCCGCCAGTCATGATTGCACCCCCCCCCTCTTGGACACCCCCCTCTTGGCCACTCGCGAGGGGAGGGCCTCCAGGACCCTCTCGGCGGCCCTGTTGATGTTGCACCAGTTCTGCGCGCGCGGCCCGCCGGCCCCGGGGGGGAGGGGAAGGGCGCGGCACCTCCGTCTCCCCGCCGCCTTCCCCGTGCCCGCCCTGCGCTCTTTTGGAGGCCTGGAAATGGACACCAGCACCAGCACAGGGGGTTGCCTCCACAGGGAGAAGATAATCCTAGATTTCGGTGTTGGTGGTAATATTTCGGCCACCTTGGAAGCCAGAATATTACCACCATCACCGAGATCGGGATTTCCTTCCCCTGGTGGAGGCACACCGCCGAAATTGGTGTTGGTGTCAACCTCTGGGCCTGCGACCCTTCACACTCCTCATCCGGCCCTTCTCTATTTGCCCCCCCTCCCCGCTGAGGCTGCCCGATGATATATCAAGGTCGCGTCGAGCGACCGGGAGTTCACCTCCTGCTCCTGCATGGCGTGCTCTCGGTGCAGCGCGTTGAGCAGCAGTCGCTCCAGCGGGCTCTACTATGAAGGCCTCGCTAACCGCGCTGTGCCATAGGTCATGACTCGGTTGAGCTAACAACTTAGCACCAATCGTGTCTCTCATAATGCCTCGTGGCCAAATGGAAGCGGTTGGCCTTGAACCTATTGGCGATCTGGAACGCTACACCGCGAAAGCGATCCGCCACGCCATCGCATGTCCGCAAGCACTACTCTGGGTTTCTGAATAAGCGTGGGGGGTACCCCCCGACGGGGGTCAACCTCGCCTCGTCGTCGCGCCGCGACGGGGGTCGGAGCGCCTTCGGGGCGCGGTGGCTGTCCGCGACGGGGTCGACGTGGGGTTGTCGGCGGGGGTGACGCCCCCCCCGACGCTTATGAAGAGACTCGGGGTACTCTCTCTGAGGACTCTCTCTCTTTCCCACGTCAGTCTGGCGCCACCAGAATCTCGGGGGCGCGCAAACATGGATTAGCGATCCTTGCATTTGGCGCGCGGTCGCCAAATCCATGGAGCGGGGGAACCGCCCTCCCCAAAATGTGGCCGGTGCCTCCTCGCTCGGCGGCGGGAATCCGCGATTTCCCATGGAACGGGACCCGTCGCTAATACACGCCCACTTAATCCATGTTTGCGATCGCCTGAGAATCGACGGTGTTGAACATATCCACGAAGAAGATACTGTGGCACGCCTGCTCTCCAGCCAGACGGAACACCCTTGGAAACGGCTGTGATCCTGCCTGGCGACGAGTCCTCAGATTCTTCCTCCTCCTCCTCCTCCTCCTCCTCCTCCTGCATCCAAGTTCATCATCTTCCCCCTCCCTCCTCGTCCTCATCCTCCTGCTCATACCTCCTCCTCTCCTCCGAAAAACCATGACGACGACGATTTCGACGTCGAAGACGCGGTATCAATCGCTCGGGGAAAACAGGATCTCTCCTGGGATGCGTTGTGACCAAGATTGCGACGCGAATCCACCCATGGTGACGACGAAGAAAGGCTTAGCGGTATCGGTACCGTTTCCTTGTCTGACGCTCCAGACCCCCGACGTGGTGTTTTTGTTTCACAACGTCGACCCCCAGAGGTCTCGACCCATTCCCCGGGACTGGATTAACATCCCCAGTCGTTATTGGTCGGTCCAAAGGCCCGCCAAGGCCCCAGGAGGCCGAAAATAGCAAAACCTCCAGTCGTGATGTTTTCATAGCTTGACGGGCATTGGGCCTCCCCTCCCGTCCTCGCGCTGCACGATGTACATCAGGCGCAAGAATTCGGCGAAGTCGATGCAACCACTGCCGTCCTCGTCGCGCGCTCTTGGGGGCGGAAGGCGCCGACGGGCGACGCAAGACCTCTGGCTGGCACTTCGAGTAAGGGATCGACTAGAGCATCGACTTACCCCAGCAGTGATTGACTCGGCGAGCGTACGAGAGAAACACGCAGAATGCCTGCCGAATCTCGGAACACTCTGCGCATGCCTGTACCTTGCGCAAATGTGCCCGTCCCCTGCACCCGTCGCCGCCTCCCTTGAGCAGGGACCGACCGTCCCAGCATTCTTATAGTCCTACTACGAAATGCTCTTAGAACCCAAAGATGTTCTAAGAACAAACACAGCGTTCTTAGAACAGGTTCCCAATGTGTGAAAACAAGACAGTCCCGGCCAGCAATGTTCTAAGAACATGTCGTACAAACCTCAAACTGTTCGTAGAACACTGCTTGGTAAGCCTATACGCACGCCAGGACGCTTCGTCACTGATTGAGACCCCCGCAGGCTATCCTGGGCGGCGGCACCGGCTCCACAGCTCTGGCCGCCGCTGTTCGGGAGCGGCGAAGAGGGGGGCGTCCAAGAGGGGGGAGGTGCAAATCATGACCGGCGGCACGTGCGCGGCCCAGCGGGGGGGCCAGGGACGTAATCAAACAAGAACAGGCGCCATGAAATCTTAAGAAATATCATGGCCCCCTGCCATGATATCCACCCCCCCTAGTAATCGCCCCCCTCTTTTCCGCCCCCGAGCTGTGCCGCTCGCGCCCGTGGC